CCCAGCCCTATACCCACACACCACGCCCTGCCTTAATCCACACACACCACGCCCTGCCCTAATCCCCCACACATTACGCCCTGCCCTAATCCCCATACACCACGCCCTGCCCTAATCCCCCCCCACACACACCCTGCCTTAATCCCCCACACACCACGCCCTTCCCTAATCCCCACGCACCACGCCCTGCCCTAATCCCCCACACACCACGCCCCACATTACACACCACACCCCGCCCTTCTCCTCACAGGCCATAATCAATAAACCGCTTGGTCAGCGAATCAACACAAAAACTACACACAATACGTCACAGTCGGCCTAGTAGATGTAAGATATACGTCACAGACGGCCTAGTAGATGTAAGATATACGTCACAGACGGCCTAGTAGATGTAAGATATACGTCACAGACGGCCTAGTAGATGTAAGATATACGTCACAGACGGCCTAGTAGATGTAAGATATACGTCACAGACGGTCTAGTAGATGTAAGATATACGTCACAGACGGCCTAGTAGATGTAAGATATACGTCACAGACGGTCTAGTAGATGTAAGATATACGTCACAGACGGCCTAGTAGATGTAAGATATACGTCACAGACGGTCTAGTAGATGTAAGATATACGTCACAGACGGCCTAGTAGATGTAAGATATACGTCACAGAGGCATACGTAATCGTGTGTCTAATCTACACACCAAGCGACCTAAGTACGCTGGTGTGTTATGGTCAATTCATATGGTGGTCATCTATACCTTATGTCCACACACAAAAATTGGAATTTTAACATTCCCCCCCCCCCCCCCACCCATGTGAACCCACTAAACTAGCCAATCATGTGACTAACCACGTGACCCCAACAGACACAGTGTGTCAACAAAGTAGGTTTATGTGTTTGTAGCTGGGCATTTAGTGACTGCAAATGTCATACCTTGGTGGCATTTAGTGACTGTCAATGTCATACCTTGGTGGCATTTAGTGACTGTCAATGTCATACCTTGGTGGCATTTAGTGACTGTCAATGTCATACCTTGGTGGCATTTAGTGACTGTCAATGTCATACCTTGGTGGCATTTAGTGACTGTCAATGTCATACCTTGGTGGCATTTAGTGACTGTCAATGTCATACCTTGGTGGCATTTAGTGACTGTCAATGTCATACCTTGGTGGCATTTAGTGACTGTCAATGTCATACCTTGGTGGCATTTAGTGACTGCCAATGTCATACCTTGGTGGCATTTAGTGACTGTCAATGTCATACCTTGGTGGCATTTAGTGACTGTCAATGTCATACCTGGTGGCATTTAGTGACTGCCAATGTCATACCTTGGTGGCATTTAGTGACTGTCAATGTCATACCTTGGTGGCATTTAGTGACTGCCAATGTCATACCTTGGTGGCATTTAGTGACTGTCAATGTCATACCTTGGTGGCATTTAGTGACTGCCAATGTCATACCTTGGTGGCATTTAGTGACTGTCAATGTCATACCTTGGTGGCATTTAGTGACTGTCAATGTCATACCTTGGTGGCATTTAGTGACTGCCAATGTCATACCTTGGTGGCATTTAGTGACTGTCAATGTCATACCTTGGTGGCATTTAGTGACTGTCAATGTCATACCTTGGTGGCATTTAGTGACTGTCAATGTCATACCTTGGTGGCATTTAGTGACTGCCAATGTCATACCTTGGTGGCATTTAGTGACTGTCAATGTCATACCTTGGTGGCATTTAGTGACTGTCAATGTCATACCTTGGTGGCATTTAGTGACTGCCAATGTCATACCTTGGTGGCATTTAGTGACTGTCAATGTCATACCTTGGTGGCATTTAGTGACTGTCAATGTCATACCTTGGAGCTGCCCATGTTTAAATGATGGTTGAAATTACAGCATCCTTATTTGACGTCATTATTTGACATCACAGACCTTTTAAAAATCTAATTACAACTAGTATGTTGTTAATCTCTACTAGATCATATTCATAATGCTGTTAATCTCTACTAGACCATAAGGTAAATCTAGTTTGGGCTAACATCAATATTAGCCTGTGGCAATGTTGTCTTCTGTCGACTGCTAGGATTTGTACAATAGAAAGATTGCTGAGGGAGTACTGTCAGCAGGCCATCCACCATATGAACCCCACTCCCCCACCACATGAACCCCACTCCCCCACAAGATGAACCCACCACATGAACCCCACTCCCCCACCACATGAACCCCACTCCCCCACAAGATGAACCCACCACATGAACCCCACTACCCCACCACATGAACCCCACTCCCCCACCACATGAACCCCACTCCCCCACAAGATGAACCCCACTCCTCCACCATATGAACCCCACACCCCCACCACATGAACCCACCACATGAACCCCACTCCCCCACCACATGAACCCCACTCCCCCACCACATGAACCCACCACATGAACCCCACTCCCCCACAAGATGAACCCACCACATGAACCTCACTCCCCCACCACATGAACCCCACTCCCCCACCACATGAACCCCACTCCCCCACCACATGAACCCACCACATGAACCCCATTCCCCCACCACATGAACCCACCACATGAACCCCACTCCCTCACAACATGAACCCCATTCCCCCACCACATGAACCCACCACATGAACCCCACTCCCCCACCACATGAACCCACCACATGAACCCCATTCCCCCACCACATGAACCCACCACATGAACCCCACTCCCTCACAACATGAACCCCATTCCCCCACCACATGAACCCACCACATGAACCCACCACATGAACCCCACTCCCCCACCACATGAACCTCACTCCCCCACCACATGAACCCCACTCCCCCACAAGATGAACCCACCACATGAACCCCACTCCCCCACCACATGAACCCCACTCCCCCACCACATGAACCCACCACATGAACCCCACTCCCCCACAAGATGAACCCACCACATGAACCTCACTCCCCCACCACATGAACCCCACTCCCCCACCACATGAACCCCACTCCCCCACCACATGAACCCACCACATGAACCCCATTCCCCCACCACATGAACCCACCACATGAACCCCACTCCCTCACAACATGAACCCCATTCCCCCACCACATGAACCCACCACATGAACCCCACTCCCCCACCACATGAACCCACCACATGAACCCCACACCCCCACCACATGAACCCCACTCCCCCACCACATGAACCCACCACATGAACCCCACACCCCCACCACATGAACCCCACTCCCCCACAACATGAACCCACCACATGAACCCCACCCCCACCACATCAACCCATCTCCCAGCACATAACCTCCACTTCTAGCATAATTTACGCCTCAGTAAATGAAATGGTAATTTGCAGCACACATGGTAACTATAAAATTTGTCCTGTCATAAATAAACAAAAAGATGGACAGATTAAAGGCGCAGAGGAAACAAACTATTTCCACCAAAACTGGTGTGAAGTTTGGTATCATGTTGGTCATACATCAAAGTTGATCCTGTTTGTTGTAAAGTAGACTCAATGTGTTGTAAAGTAGACTCAATGTGTTGTAAAGTAGACTCAATGTGTTGTAAAGTCGACTGTATGTCTTTGTTGTAGAGCTACAGTAGACTGAACTTAATTCTCCTGGATTAATTATAATGCCCCAGTGTGAATAAATGTCCTGGATTAATTATAATGCCCCAGTGTGAATAAATGTCAACATAAACCCAAGAAAAAGAAGATAAAAGGGCCATCTCCTGTTACTTAATGTGTGCATCGTCTCCCTTTGTTGTGTCTATCCTGCAGGATACAGTGCCACAGGATATCTTGTTTGTTCTCATCCAGCTAATGGGGACAGAAAGGGCTACGTAATGTCAGTATGGATGAATATTGAGTTCATTCTTTGTAACTCATGACAGTGTTAGTCTACAGCCAATTTTCATGGGTGGGGTGGGACTTCTGAGATCAACATATGTTAGAGAGGTCGTGTTGTAGCACTTTTGTCTGTGTGGTGTTGTCTAAAGAAGCACTTTAGTCTAAGAGTTGTGGTTAGGTAGATTTCATTGACAGTCTGAAAGAAGTTACCCCTGACTTTTCTGTTATTTTCTTCTGTCTGTCTGTGTCACTTTTCCAGTCTTAAGTCTATGTCACCTTCACATAGCCCATTGAAATGTCTGTGTCACCTTCACATAGCCCATTGAAATGTCTGTGTCACCTTCACTTAGCCCCATTGAAATGTTTGTGTCACCTTCACATAGCCCCATTGAAATGTTTGTGTCACCTTCACATAGCCCCATTGAAATGTTTGTGTCACCTTCACATAGCCCCATTGAAATGTTTGTGTCACCTTCACATAGCCCCATTGAAATGTTTGTTTCACCTTCACATAGCCCCATTGAAATGTTTGTGTCACCTTCACATAGCCCCATTGAAATGTTTGTGTCACCTTCACATAGCCCCATTGAAATGTTTGTTTCACCTTCACATAGCCCCATTGAAATGTTTGTGTCACCTTCACATAGCCCCATTGAAATGTTTGTGTCACCTTCACATAGCCCCATTGAAATGTTTGTGTCACCTTCACATAGCCACATTGAAATGTTTGTGTCACCTTCACATAGCCCCATTGAAATGTTTGTGTCACCTTCACATAGCCCCATTGAAATGTTTGTGTCACCTTCCCATAGCCCCATTGAAATGTTTGTGTCACCTTCCCATAGCCCCATTGAAATGTTTGTGTCACCTTCACATAGCCCCATTGAAATGTCTGTGTCACCTTCACATAGTCCCATTGAACTCAGTGTTTGTGTCACCTTCACATAGCCCTATTGAAATGTCTGTGTCACCTTCACATAGCCCCATTGAACTCAGTGTCTGTGTCACCTTCACATAGTCCCATTGAACTCAGTGTTTGTGTCACCTTCACATAGCCCTATTGAAATGTCTGTGTCACCTTCACATAGCCCCATTGCACTCACTGTCTTTATTCTATCATGTTGACTTTGGTTTTACAGGCAATTATTCTCTAGCTCTTACGTGGAGAAAATTTATCACCCTCATGGGCCTGAAACTAGAAAAACATTTTCACAAGTAAGTTCTGACCCCATACTTATTACTTTTTGAATATATTTTTTTTCCTAGAACCAAGAAAAGTGTTCCTACTTTTTGACACACTGAATATTTTGTTTCCTAGAACCAAGAAAAGTGTTCCTACTTTTTGACACACTGAATATTTTGTTTCCTAGAACCAAGACAACTGTTTCTATCATGGCAGTCTGAGGTTCCAGCCCAAGTCAGAGGCAGCACTTAGTACATGCCAGGGGCTAAGGTGAGTATCCTGTGGTTAACATAGAGGTTGACCATTAACAAACCTGCTAGTAGCCATAAGGGGCTAAGGTTAGTATCTTGTGGTGAACTATGGGGTTGACCATTCATAACAAACCTGCTAGTAGCCATAAGAATAGGGTTGGTTGGTTGTGATTAAGTTCTCTATATGCTGTTTTTTTAAATATATCTATTTTTACATTTGACTGAAGTGGTTGATGTCACTTTAGTATTGTATTGAGATCTTGATTCTAGACTTTTATAATGTGTAAATTAAGAAAAGATGTATGATAAAGTTGACTGTTGTAAGTTGATCCAATGTATGATGAAGTTGACTGTTGTAAGTTGATCCAATGTATGATGAAGTTGACTGTTGTAAGTTGATCCAATGTATGATGAAGTTGACTGTTGTAAGTTGATCCAATGTATGATAAAGTTGACTGTTGTAAATTGATCCAATGTATGATAAAGTTGACTGTTGTAAATTGATCCAATGTATGATAAAGTTGACTGTTGTAAGTTGATCCAATGTATGACGAAGTTGACTGTTGTAAGTTGATCCAATGTATGATAAAGTTGACTGTTGTAAGTTGATCCAATGTATGATGAAGTTGACTGTTGTAAGTTGATCCAATGTATGATAAAGTTGACTGTTGTAAATTGATCCAATGTATGATGAAGTTGACTGTTGTAAGTTGGTCCAATGTATGATAAAGTTGACTGTTGTAAGTTGATCCAATGTATGATAAAGTTGACTGTTGTAAGTTGATCCAATGTATGATGAAGTTGACTTTTGTAAGCTGATCCAATGTATGATGAAGTTGACTGTTGATCCAGCGTATGATGAAGTTGACTGTTGATCCAGCGTATGATGAAGTTGACTGTTGTAAGTTGATCCAGCGTATGATGAAGTTGACTGTTGTAAGTTGATCCAGCGTATGATAAAGTTGACTGTTGTAAGTTGATCCAGTGTATGTTGAAGTTGACTGTTGATCCAGCGTATGATGAAGTTGACTGTTGATCCAGCGTATGATGAAGTTGACTGTTGTAAGTTGATCCAGCGTATGATAAAGTTGACTGTTGTAAGTTGATCCAGTGTATGTTGAAGTTGACTGTTGATCCAGCGTATGATGAAGTTGACTGTTGATCCAGCGTATGATGAAGTTGACTGTTGTAAGTTGATCCAGCGTATGATGAAGTTGACTGTTGATCCAGTGTATGATGAAGTTGACTGTTGATCCAGCGTATGATGAAGTTGACTGTTGATCCAGCGTATGATGAAGTTGACCCTCTATTTCAGTGGTTATGTGACAGACCACCACGACACCTACCACATTGAGCCCCTACAAGGGAAAGTCCACAGGATCTATCGCAACAAGGATCAAAAGAAGCTGCCTTTTAGATGTGGTAAATTTTTTTTTGATTAACGCTGCCTTTTAGATGTGGTAAATTTTTGTTTGATCAAAGTTGCCTTTTAGATGTGGTACATTTTTATTTCATCAAAGTTGCCTTAAGATGGTAATTTTTTTTAAATTATTGATTTAATGAAAAACACTTAGACATTATTTTTTAATTTATATTCTTGGATAATTGCCTTTCCTGTGGTCAATATTAACCAGTAAATTATACATGTATTTTTCGCATTATTATATTTATTTTTTTTAAACCAAAAACATTTTTTAAATCTTAAATGCGTTGAGTATTGAATTAAAATAAAATTTCTGCGGCTTCCTTCAGGCACAGAAGGCCATGATGGCAGACTGCATGAACATAGAAAAGTTATTTCCAGGGTAAGTTCCAGTTTTTTAGCTCTAGGTTTTTAGGGTAAGTTCCATTTTTTTAACTCTAGGTTTTTAGGGTAAGTTCCATTTTTTAAATCAAGTTTTTTAGGGTAAGTTCAATTTTTTAACTCAAGGATTTTAGGGTAAGTTCCATTTTTTTAACTCTAGGTTTTTAGGGTAAGTTCCATTTTTTTAACTCTAGGTTTTTAGGGTAAGTTCCATTTTTTTAACTCTAGGTTTTTAGGGTAAGTTCCATTTTTTTAGCTCAAGGTTTTTAGGGTAAGTTCCATTTTTTTAACTCTAGGTTTTTAGGGTAAGTTCCATTTTTTTAACTCAAGGTTTTTAGGGTAAGTTCCATTTTTTTAGCTCAAGTTTTTTAGGGTAAGTTCCATTTTTTTAGCTCAAGGTTTTTAGGGTAAGTTCCATTTTTTTAACTCAAGGTTTTTAGGTTAAGTTCAATTTTTTAGCTCAAGGTTTTTAGGGTAAGTTCCATTTTTTAAATCAAGTTTTTTAGGGTAAGTTCCATTTTTTAACTCAAGGTTTTTAGGGTAAGTTTCATTTTTTTAGCTCAAGTTTTTTAGGGTAAGTTCCATTTTTTAAATCAAGTTTTTTAGGGTAAGTTCTATTTTTAACTCAAGTTTTTTAGGTTAAGCTCAATTTTTTAACTCAAGGATTTTAGGGTAAGTTCCATTTTTTAAATCAAGTTTTTAAAAATAAGATTTTTAATTTTAAAAAAATTGTATACATATTTTTTTCTGTTCTTGATAATATAACATTTTGATAAAATATTTTGACACAAAGCAACAATTGTATCCACTGTATAAATCTGAGTGCCCTTGTTACTGTTAACAAAATGCCCTTGTTACTGTTAACAACATGCCCTTGTTACTGCTAACAAAATGCCCTTGTTACTGTTAACATCATGCCCTTGTTACTGTTAACAACATGCCCTTGTTACTGTTAACAACATGCCCTTGTTACTGCTAACAAAATGCCCTTGTTACTGTTAACATCATGCCCTTGTTACTGTTAACAACATGCCCTTGTTACTGTTAACAACATGCCCTTGTTACTGCTAACAAAATGCCCTTGTTACTGTTAACAACATGCCCTTGTTACTGCTAACAAAATGCCCTTGTTACTGTTAAAAAAATGCCCTTGTTACTGTTAACAAAATGCCCTTGTAACTGTTAACAACATGCCCTTGTTACTGCTAACAAAATGCCCTTGTTACTGTTAACAACATGCCCTTGTTACTGTTAACAAAATGCCCTTGTTACTGTTAACAACATGCCCTTGTTACTGCTAACAACATGCCCTTGTTACTGTTAACAAAATGCCCTTGTTACTGTTAACAACATGCCCTTGTTACTGCTAACAAAATGCCCTTGTTACTGTTAACAACATGCCCTTGTTACTGCTAACAACATGCCCTTGTTACTGTTAACAAAATGCCCTTGTTACTGTTAACAACATGCCCTTGTTACTGTTAACAAAATGCCCTTGTTACTGTTAACAACATGCCCTTGTTACTGCTAACAAAATGCCCTTGTTACTGTTAACAAAATGCCCTTGTTACTGTTAACAACATGCCCTTGTTACTGCTAACAAAATGCCATTGTTACTGTTAACAAAATGCCCTTGTTACTGTTAACAAAATGCCCTTGTTACTGTTAACAAAATGCCCTTGTTACTGTAAACAAAATGCCCTTGTTACTGTTAACAAAATGCCCTTGTTACTGTAAACAAAATGCCCTTGTTACTGCTAACAAAATGCCATTGTTACTGTTAACAAAATGCCATTGTTACTGTTAACAAAATGTCATTGTTACTGTTAACAACATGCCCTTGTTACTGTTAACAAAATGCCATTGTTACTGTTAACAACATGCCCTTGTTACTGTTAACAAAATGCCCTTGTTACCGTGCAGCACAAGAGAAGCGTCCTGGCCCCTTATGACAGCAACTCCAACACGCGCTATGTGGAGCTGTACCTGGTCAACGACTACAGAGCTGTGAGTCTTGTACACACATGTCAACTTTTGTTGTCCTTATGTGTCAACTTTTGTTGTCCTCATGTGTCAACTTTTGTTGTCATCATGTGTCAACTTTTGTTGTCCACATGTGTCAACTTTTGCTGTCCTCATGTGTCAACTTTTGTTGTCCTCATGTGTCAACTTTTGTTGTCCACATGTGTCAACTTTTGTAGGGTTGTCATCATGTCAACTTTAGATGGGATATGTAGGGTTGTCATCATGTCAACTTTAGATGGGATATGTAGGGTTGTCATCATGTCAACTTTAGATGGGATATGTAGGGTTGTCATCATGTCAACTTTAGATGGGATATGTAGGGTTGTCATCATGTCAACTTTAGATGGGATATGTAGGGTTGTCATCATGTCAACTTTAGATGGGATATGTAGGGTTGTCATCATGTCAACTTTAGATGGGATATGTAGGGTTGTACACACACAACTTTAGATATGTTGTGTTGGGTCATCCACTCTTGTCAACTTTAGATAGGATGTGTTGGGTCATCCACTCTTGTCAACTTTAGATAGGATGTGTTGGGTCATCCACTCTTGTCAACTTTAGATGGGATATGAAGGGTGGAAATCTGCCTTACATAAACATTCAGATTTTGATATACTGACTTAGAAATTGATTGAGAAATGTCCTTATCTTTTACAGTATGAGCGCTTTGGTAAAAATACAGAACTTATCATTAAAAGATCAAAAGACATAGCAAATATAGTCAGCAGTGTAAGTTTTGATCACAATAAATGTTCAATTATTTGTTCATGTTGTAAAGTTTGCTCCAATGTATGCCCCACTAAGTTGTTGATGTTCTGTTAGCCCCCACTACAGGAAATTACCCCCCCCCAAGTAATTGCCCCTCTGTCAATTACCCCCTTAGAGAATTACCCCCCCCCCCCCATCCACCAAGATAGAATCCTGATTCTAACTCCAACTCTATACCAATAAATTACCTTAATCCTAACCTTAAGACAAAGACGAAAAACCTAAGAATTCACCACACCCAAAAATAAACCCAAAACCAAACCCAACTTTAGACATAGATTTAAGCCTGATCCTAACACTAACACTAGCCCTAACCCTAGCGCTAGACCTAGCCCAAACTCAAACCCTAGCTCTGACCCTAGCTGAACCTTAAGCCATGACTGGGGGGGGGGGGGGGGTAATAGCCTGTTCCCGTTAGCCCCACTAATTTGATGTTCTGTTAGCCCCACTAACCTGATTTTCTGTTAGCCCCACTAACCTGATGTTCTGTTAGCCCCAATGTTGATGTTCTGTTAGCCCCAATGTTGTAGTTCTGTTAGTGCCACTAACTTGTGGATGTTGTTACAGCTGTACAGACAACTAAACATCTATGTAGCCCTGGTGGGTGTAGAGGTGTGGTCAGGGGGAGACCAGGTCAGCGTGACCCCCAGTGCTGACAACACCATGGAAAACTTTCTACGCTATCGCAAGGAGAGAATCAACCCGTACCACCATAATGACAACGCTCAGCTGATCACGTATGTCCATAGTTTATCACTCAGCTGATCACGTATGTCTGTGTACATAGTTTATCACTCAGCTGATCATGTATGTCCATAGTTTATGTCAATAGATCAAATGCTTGCTCTCATAGTTACAATTTGGAATCCCCTGATATTTACCATCTTTTTTTAAGTGGTGTCTTCTTTGAACATGGAGTGGTTGGGAAGGCCATCAAAGGACCAATTTGTACACACCAGTTTTCTGGGGGGGTCAACATGGTAGGTCACACAGGATAGATACTGTTGCTAGAGGCTGTAAATTATTTGATACAATCTACTTTAAACCTCCTAATTTTGCTCCTATGTTCAGGATTACGGTGGGGTAGTTACGTTGGTGGCCACAACAGTTGCTCACGAGATCGGCCACAACTTTGGGATGGAGCACGACAACGACACCATGTGTGAGTGCAGGGACGACAAGTGCATCATGGCCGCCACCAGCGGGTTGGTAGCTTTCTGTTTTCATTACTCTCATCAGCTGGCTAACTTGTTTAATAGCTGGCTCAAGGCTTTATAACTTGAAACAGTTGACTGAAGGCTTTGATCAGCAGATTGTAGCTGGGATAGAAAGTTGAGTTGATTTTGAAGGAAATGTTTAACTTTCAGACAAATCAGCCCCAAGAAGTGGTCGTCCTGCTCCCAGAATGCCCTGGCAGAAGCCTTTGATCTGGGCATGGACTACTGTCTGCAGAACATCCCTGAGACCATCTACAGGGGACCCATCTGTGGCAATGGTCTGACTGAAGAAGGCGAGGAGTGTGACTGTGGGCTGCCTCAGGTGAGATCACCCTCTTGTACTCAGTAGGGCAGGGGAAGTAGAGTAAGGCTGGGCTGCCTCAGGTGAGATCACCCTCTTGGGCTCAGTAGGGCAGGGGAAGTAGAGTAGGGCTGGGCTGTCTGAGATCACACCCTCTTGTACTCAGTAGGGCAGGGGAAGTAGAGTAGTGCTGGGCTGCCTCAGGTAAGATCACCCTTTTGTGGTCAATAGTGCAGGGGCAGTAGAGTAGGGTGTGGCCTGATTGGGCATGTTTTGTCATTTACAAAATCTGTTTATTAGTTAACAAAATTCTTCTTGACAATATCAATGTAGTCGAGGTTATTTAATAACTATGGTAACTAGGCAACCGTTTAAAAAAAGCTAAACAATCTAATTTATTTTCTTGTTTCTGTAGTTCAACAGATTTTTTAAAAATTATCTATAAGTTTTACTTCAGAGTTTAAATATCAAATGCATTGAAGAATCAGATTGTCTTCAACAAGGATAGTTTTATTCTAGGATTGTACTAACTATGATTATTTTATTGTAGGATTGTATCAAAGATGATTGTTTTATTCTAGGATTGTATCAAAGATGATTGTTTTATTCTAGGATTGTATCAAAGATGATTGTTTTATTCTAGGATTGTATCAAAGATGATTGTTTTATTCTAGGATTGTATCAAAGATGATTGTTTTATTCTAGGATTGTATCAAAGATGATTGTTTTATTCTAGGATTGTATCAAAGATGATTGTTTTATTCTAGGATTGTATCAAAGATGATTGTTTTATTCTAGGATTGTATCAAAGATGATTGTTTTATTCTAGGATTGTACCGAAGATGATTGTTTTATTCTAGGATTGCACCAACTATGATTGTTTTATTCTAGGATTGCACCAACTATGATTGTTTTATTCTAGGATTGCACCAACTATGATTGTTTTATTCTAGGATTGCACCAACTATGATTGTTTTATTCTAGGATTGCACCAACTATGATTGTTTTATTCTAGGATTGCACCAACTATGATTGTTTTATTCTAGGATTGCACCAACTATGATTGTTTTATTCTAGGATTGCACCAACTATGATTGTTTTATTCTAGGATTGCACCAACTATGATTGTTTTATTCTAGGATTGCACCAACTATGATTGTTTTATTCTAGGATTGCACCAACTATAATTGTTATATTCTAGGATTGTATCAAAGATGATTGTACCAACTATGATTGTTTTATTCTAGGATTGTATCAAAGATGATTGTTTTATTCTAGGATTGTATCAAAGATGATTGTTTTATTCTAGGATTGTATCAAAGATGATTGTTTTATTCTAGGATTGTATCAAAGATGATTGTTTTATTCTAGGATTGTATCAAAGATGATTGTTTTATTCTAGGATTGTATCAAAGATGATTGTTTTATTCTAGGATTGTATCAAAGATGATTGTTTTATTCTAGGATTGTATCAAAGATGATTGTTTTATTCTAGGATTGTATCAAAGATGATTGTTTTATTCTAGGATTGTATCGAAGATGATTGTTTTATTCTAGGATTGTACCGAAGATGATTGTTTTATTCTAGGATTGCACCAACTATGATTGTTTTATTCTAGGATTGCACCAACTATGATTGTTTTATTCTAGGATTGCACCAACTATGATTGTTTTATTCTAGGATTGCACCAACTATGATTGTTTTATTCTAGGATTGCACCAACTATGATTGTTTTATTCTAGGATTGTATCAAAGATGATTGTACCAACTATGATTGTTTTATTCTAGGATTGTACCAAAGATGATTGTTTTATTCTAGGATTGTACCAAAGATGATTGTTTTATTCTAGGATTGTATCAAAGATGATTGTTTTATTCTAGGATTGTACCAAAGATGATTGTTTTATTCTAGGATTGTACCAAAGATGATTGTTTTATTCTAGGATTGTACCAAAGATGATTGTTTTATTCTAGGATTGTACCAACTATGATTGTTTTATTCTAGGATTGTACCAACTATGATTGTTTTATTCTAGGATTGCACCAACTATGATTGTTTTATTCTAGGATTGTACCAACCGCTGTTGTAACGCAACTGTGTGTAAACTTCATCCTTTGGCTCGGTGTGGGACAGGGAAATGTTGTGATCTCAGCATATGTAAGGTCAGTACACCATATGTAAGGTCAGTACACCATATGTAAGGTCAGTTCACCACATGTTAGGTCAGTACACAATTACACCATATGTAAGGCCAGTACACCACATGTAAGGTCAGTACACCACATGTAAGGTCATTACACCATATGTAAGGTCAGTACACCATATGTAAGGTCAGTACACCACATGTAAGGTCAGTACACCATATGTAAGGTCAGTACACCACATGTAAGGTCAGTACACCATATGTAAGGTCAGTACACCATATGTAAGGTCAGTACACCACATGTAAGGTCAGTACACCACATGTAAGGTCAGTACACCATATGTAAGGTCAGTACACCACATGTAAGGTCAGTACACCATATGTAAGGTCAGTACACCACATGTAAGGTCAGTACACCATATGTAAGGTCAGTACACCATATGTAAGGTCAGTACACCATATGTAAGGTCAGTACACCATATGTAAGGTCAGTACACCATATATAAGGTCAGTACACCATATGTAAGGCCAGTACACAATCACACCATATGTAAGGTCATTACACCATATGTAAGGTCAGTACACCATATGTAAGGTCAGTACACCATATGTAAGGTCAGTACACCATATGTAAGGTCAGTACACCACATGTAAGGTCAGTACACCACATGTAAGGTCATTACACCATATGTAAGGTCAGTACACCATATGTAAGGTCAGCACACCATATGTAAGGTCAGCACACCATATGTAAGGTCAGTACACCACATGTAAGGTCAGTACACCACATGTAAGGTCATTACACCACATGTAAGGTCATTACACCATATGTAAGGTCAGTACACCATATGTAAGGTCAGTACACAATCACACCATATGTAAGGTCAGTACACCATATGTAAGGTCAGTACACCATATGTAAGGTCAGTACACCACATGTAAGGTCAGTACACCACATGTAAGGTCAGTACACCATATGTAAGGTCAGTACACCATATGAAACGTAAGCCATACATCCACACAGCTACTAACTTTAGCCATACATCCACACAGCTACTAACTTAAGCCATACACAGCTACTTACTTAAGCCATACACAGCCACTAACTTAAGCCATACACAGCTACTAACTTAAGCCATACACAGCTACTAACTTAAGCCATACACAGCCACCAACTTAAGCCATACACAGCCACTAACTTAAGCCATACACAGCTACTAACTTAAGCCATACACAGCCACTAACTTAAGCCATACACAACTACTAACTTAAGCCATACACAGCTACTAACTTAAGCCATACACAGCCACTAACTTAAGCCATACACAACTACTAACTTAAGCCATACACAGCCACTAACTTAAGCCATACACAACTACTAACTTAAGCCATACACAGCTACTAACTTAAGCCATACATCCCCAGCCAAAAGAATCGTCCACTCTGTGCCGAGCACCAGGTGGGGAGTGTGACTTGGCTGAATTTTGTGATGGTCAGTCCGAGCACTGCCCTACAGATGTCTTCTTACAGAATGGCCTGCAGTGTAAGGGTGGTCAGGTGAGACAACTTAATATCATTATGGTTACCAGCCAAGGGGGATAAGTAATAAAGTTGTAATTCATTGGATTGCTGCCCCTGTGGGACTACAACTGTTGAAGTAGTTTTTTGCATGCTCTTCGGTGAGCGATTTTACTTGTGTCCCATGTCATGTGACATGGGATTATGGGTAGTTCGTGCCTAGCTGTGTCAGCCAGACCCAAGGCTGCTGTCTGTGGATCATGACAATGTAGACCTAATGAATGTAATATTATTTTTTATATTACTGTACTACTCCTACTAGTGCTGCATGTTGCAGACTAGGGGTGGAGTATCTTCGTTAGAGTACTTTTCTGTATTATTCCTGCTAGTGCGGCATGTTGCACACTAGTTAGGTGTTAAGTATTTATTTAAGTAGTTCTTATTGTGCTACCTATTGACAGTAACATATTTTATTGCACCCGTGTATGTTTGTAGCCTACACGTGGTATTACCAGTGATGTAAACTTTTGTTTACATTTGTTTTAGGGCTACAATTTAATCATCGTTAATCGTCGGTCGTCGTCTTCTTAGGTTTTTGTTTTGCTGTGATCTACTGTTTTCTACTGTTGTTCTACATGGCCGTTCATGGCTCGATGTAATGTGATTAAAGCCAGTAGTTGACAACAGCGTCGCTTCAGTGTGTCCTAAATCTCAGGGTCAGCCCTTTTAAACACAACACCTCAGTGGGTAAAAAACATCCCCACTGAGTGAGTGTTACAGTCACATGACCACAGATGACATGTAAGACACCTGAATGTCACAGTACCCACTAATGACATGTAAGACGCCTGAATGTCACAGTACCCACTGATGATATAAATGACATCTACATGTCACATTACTGAATGTCACAGTACCCACATGAGTGTCATATTGGCAATGGATTACAACTTAACATTGGTCTAAACATTTCTGTTTTTTAACTGTTAGGCAACTGTCCAGAAGAACAAGGTTTTTTTTTCTCAAGCTTTTATTTACCAAATTTACAAAACTTTATACTTCTGCTGAATTGTTTTGTTTCAGACTTGACAATATTGTCAAGTGCAAATGACTATGTAAAGTGACATAACATTTGACATAACTAAATGCTTAATTAATTTTTCATAAATTAACAATAAATTTCTACTTAAAGTAATAATTTTATCATGTATTTTTACACAATTTGATACATTGATTTGGTGTGCAAGTCTTTTAGCTTTGCAATTTGATTCTATTCAAAGTTGAAACCTATTTTAACAAATTAATAAAATGTATGTTATTATAAGATGTTTTTAAAATTAACTTTCTTTTTTAAGAAATCAACTTTGTTTTGTTTTCAGTCGTACTGCTACAATGGTCAGTGTAAGACCCACAGTGACCAGTGTAAGCTGCTGTGGGGAGAGACGGGTCGAGTGTCTGACCCCTTCTGCTTTCAACAGCTCAACATTAAGGGGGACAACGATGGGCATTGTGGCTACAACTGGACCACGGATAGATACAAGCGCTGTGATAAAGAGTACGTCACATGACTAGTCAGTGCTGACACATCTAGTGGTCAGTGCTGACACATCTAGTGGTCAGTGCTGACACATCTAGTGGTCAGTGCTGACACATCTAGTGGTCAGTGCTGACACATCTAGTGGTCAGTGCTGACACATCTAGTGGTCAGTGCTGACACATCTAGTGGTCAGTGCTGACACATCTAGTGGTCAGTGCTGACACATCTAGTGGTCAGTGCTGACACATCTAGTGGTCAGTGCTGACACATCTAGTGGTCAGTGCTGACACATCTAGTGGTCAGTGCTGACACATCTAGTGGTCAGTGCTGACACATCTAGTGGTCAGTGCTGACACATCTAGTGCTGACACATCTAGAGGTCAGTGCTGACACATCTAGTGCTGACACATCTAGTGGTCAGTGCTGACACATCTAGTGCTGACACATCTAGTGGTCAGTGCTGACACATCTAGTGGTCAGTGCTGACACATCTAGTGGTCAGTGCTGACACATCTAGTGGTCAGTGCTGACACATCTAGTGGTCAGTGCTGACACATCTAGTGGTCAGTGCTGACACATCTAGTGGTCAGTGCTGACACATCTAGTGGTCAGTGCTGACACATCTAGTGGTCAGTGCTGACACATCTAGTGCTGACACATCTAGTGGTCAGTGCTGACACATCTAGTGGTCAGTGCTGACACATCTAGTGGTCAGTGCTGACACATCTAGTGGTCAGTGCTGACACATCTAGTGGTCAGTGCTGACACATCTAGTGGTCAGTGCTGACACATCTAGTGGTCAGTGCTGACACATCTAGTGGTCAGTGCTGACACATCTAGTGGTCAGTACTGACACATCTAGTGGTCAGTGCTGACACATCTAGTGGTCAGTGCTGACACATCTAGTGGTCAGTGCTGACACATCTAGTGGTCAGTGCTGACACATCTAGTGGTCAGTGCTGACACATCTAGTGGTCAGTGCTGACACATCTAGTGGTCAGTGCTGACACATCTAGTGGTCAGTGCTGACACATCTAGTGGTCAGTGCTGACACATCTAGTGGTCAGTGCTGACACATCTAGTGGTCAGTGCTGACACATCTAGTGGTCAGTGCTGACACATCTAGTGGTCAGTGCTGACACATCTAGTGCTGACACATCTAGAGGTCAGTGCTGACACATCTAGTGCTGACACATCTAGTGGTCAGTGCTGACACATCTAGTGCTGACACATCTAGTGGTCAGTGCTGACACATCTAGTGGTCAGTGCTGACACATCTAGTGGTCAGTGCTGACACATCTAGTGGTCAGTGCTGACACATCTAGTGCTGACACATCTAGTGGTCAGTGCTGACACATCTAGTGCTGACACATCTAGTGGTCAGTGCTGACACATCTAGTGGTCAGTGCTGTGACACATCTAGTGGTCAGTGCTGACACATCTAGTGGTCAGTGCTGACACATCTAGTGCTGACACATCTAGTGGTCAGTGCTGACACATCTAGTGGTCAGTGCTGACACATCTAGTGGTCAGTGCTGACACATCTAGTGGTCAGTGCTGACACATCTAGTGGTCAGTGCTGACACATCTAGTGGTCAGTGCTGACACATCTAGTGGTCAGTGCTGACACATCTAGTGGTCAGTGCTGACACATCTAGTGGTCAGTGCTGACACATCTAGTGGTCAGTGCTGACACATCTAGTGCTGACACATCTAGTGGTCAGTGCTGACACATCTAGTGGTCAGTGCTGACACATCTAGTGGTCAGTGCTGACACATCTAGTGGTCAGTGCTGACACATCTAGTGGTCAGTGCTGACACATCTAGTGGTCAGTGCTGACACATCTAGTGGTCAGTGCTGACACATCTAGTGGTCAGTGCTGACACATCTAGTGGTCAGTGCTGACACATCTAGTGGTCAGTGCTGACACATATAGTGGTCAGTGCTGACACATCTAGTGGTCAGTGCTGACACATCTAGTAGTCAGTGCTAACACATCTAGTGGTCAGTGCTGACACATCTAGTGGTCAGTGCTGACACATCTAGTGGTCAGTGCTGACACATCTAGTGGTCAGTGCTGACACATCTAGTGGTCAGTGCTGACACATCTAGTGGTCAGTGCTGACACATGTAGTGGTCAGTGCTGACACATGTAGTGGTCAGTGCTGACACATCTAGTGGTCAGTGCTGACACATCTAGTGGTCAGTGCCAACACATCTAGTGGTCAGTGCTGACACATCTAGTGGTCAGTGCTGACACATCTAGTGGTCAGTGCTGACACATCTAGTGCTGACACATCTAGAGGTCAGTGCTGACACATCTAGTGGTCAGTGCTGACACATAGTGGTCAGTGCTGACACATCTAGTGGTCAGTGCTGACACATCTAGTGGTCAGTGCTGACACATCTAGTGGTCAGTGCTGACACATCTAGTGGTCAGTGCTGACACATCTAGTGGTCAGTGCTGACACATCTAGTGGTCAGTGCTGACACATCTAGTGCTGACACATCTAGTGCTGACACATCTAGTGCTGACACATCTAGTGGTCAGTGCTGACACATCTAGTGGTCAGTGCTGACACATCTAGTGGTCAGTGCTGACACATCTAGTGCTGACACATCTAGTGCTGACACATCTAGTGGTCAGTGCTGACACATCTAGTGCTGACACATCTAGTGGTCAGTGCTGACACATCTAGTGGTTAGTGCTGGCACATCTAGTGGTCAGTGCTGACACATCTAGTGGTCAGTGCTGACACATCTAGTGCTGACACATCTAGTGGTCAGTGCTGACACATCTAGTGGTCAGTGCTGACACATCTAGTGGTCAGTGCTGACACATCTAGTGGTCAGTGCTGACACATCTAGTGGTCAGTGCTGACACATCTAGTGCTGACACATCTAGTGGTCAGTGCTGACACATCTAGTGCTGACACATCTAGTGGTCAGTGCTGACACATCTAGTGGTCAGTGCTGAAGTTTGTCCACTAACTGCTGACCTTATGATCACCAGGAATGTGATGTGTGGGCTGCTCCACTGCGTTCACCTGAATGAGAAGCTGATGTTCTGGAAGGACAGCTTGACCATCAACACAAGGGCCACCTTTCTGTCTCAAGGCAACAAGCAGTATGTCTGCCGGTCAGCCATGCTGGATGTTGGACTGGACATGCCAGATCCTGGTTTTGTGCCAGATGGGGCCAAATGTGAACATGATAAGGTCAGTTTGTTGGGTCAAATTTGAACATGATAAGGTCAGTTTGTTGGGTCAAATTTGAACATGATAAGGTCAGTTTGTTGGGCCAAATGTGAACATGATAAGGTCAGTTTGTTGGGCCAAATGTGAACATGATAAGGTCAGTTTGTTGGGCCAAATGTGAACATGATAAGGTCAGTTTGTTGGGCTAGATGTGAACATGATAAGGTCAGTTTGTTGGGTCAAATGTGAACATGATAAGGTCAGTTTGTTGGGCCAAATGTGAACATGATAAGGTCAGTTTGTTGGGTCAGATGTGAACATGATAAGGTCAGTTTGTTGGGCCAAATGTGAACATGATAAGGTCAGTTTGTTGGGTCAAATGTGAACATGATAAGGTCAGTTTGTTGGGCTAGATGTGAACATGATAAGGTCAGTTTGTTGGGTCAAATGTGAACATGATAAGGTCAGTTTGTTGGGTCAAATGTGAACATGATAAGGTCAGTTTGTTGGGCTAGATGTGAACATGATAAGGTCAGTTTGTTGGGCCAAATGTGAACATGATAAGGTCAGTTTGTTGGGCTAGATGTGAACATGATAAGGTCAGTTTGTTGGGGCAAATGTGAACATGATAAGGTCAGTTTGTTGGGCCAAATGTGAACATGATAAGGTCAGTTTGTTGGGTCAAATGTGAACATGATAAGGTCAGTTTGTTGGGTCAAATGTGAACATGATAAGGTCAGTTTGTTGGGCTAGATGTGAACATGATAAGGTCAGTTTGTTGGGCCAAATGTGAACATGATAAGGTCAGTTTGTTGGGCTAGATGTGAACATGATAAGGTCAGTTTGTTGGGCTAGATGTGAACATGATAAGGTCAGTTTGTTGGGCTAGATGTGAACATGATAAGGTCAGTTTGTTGGGCCAAATGTGAACATGATAAGGTCAGTTTGTTGGGCTAGATGTGAACATGATAAGGTCAGTTTGTTGGGTTAGTTAGGGCTAAATGTGAACATGATAAGGTCAGTTTGTTGGGCTAGATGTGAACATGATAAGGTCAGTTTGTTGGGCTAGATGTGAACATGATAAGGTCAGTTTGTTGGGCTATATGTGAACATGATAAGGTCAGTTTGTTGGAACACTAAACATCTTTACTCAAACACATTACAAACCACATTATCTTGACAATCAACCTTAGAAAACATTTAGTTAACTCCCTAAGAACCTGCCTTGAGTTGCAATGTTTATTCCCAGATTTGCATCAACCAGCAATGTTTACCTGTGGCTAAACTGAAGGTCAGACAATGTCCAGACAACTGCCACGGTCATGGGGTAGGTTCAGGTTTGTTTGCTACTAGACTAATTAGACCAATCATGGGTAGGTTCAGCTTTATTTGCTGCTAGACTAATTAGACCAATCATAGGGTAGGTTCAGGTTTATTTGCTGCTAGACTAATTAGACTAATCATAGGGTAGGTTCAGGTTTTTATTTTTACTGGACTTCTCAAGGTTTTGATCAAACTTAAGTCTGACAGCCCCTCATGAACTCTATTGTACATCTAAAAGTTGAATCACCTCATGAACTCTACATCTAAAAGTTGAATCACCTCATGAACTCTACATCTAAAAGTTGAATCACCTCATGAACTCTATTGTACATCTAAAAGTTGAATCACCTCATGAACTCTATTGTACATCTAAAAGTTGAATCACCTCATGAACTCTACATCTAAAAGTTGAACCAAACATTTTTTTCCCCAGCGCTGTAACAGCAATGGCAACTGCCACTGTAACGCAGGATATGCCCCGCCCCTCTGTGACAGGCCAGGCTATGGGGGCAGCATAGACAGTGGACCAGCTAGTGATGAATACGGTAAGACAATACGGGTTAGACAATACGGATTAGACAATACGGGTAAGACAATACCTGTAAGACAATACGGGCTATACAAAAACCTGACTACACTTGATCTTGGCTCAACACTTGCTTCAACTTTTCACAATTTCCTCCTTGCTTTGCTTACATTGATTTTTATCTTACAGTTTAATAATTGAGTCTGTTATCTACTAAAATATCAATATTTGATGGTCATTCTATTTTAGAGAAGAATGAAGATTGTGCTCTATGTAAGTTTAATTTATCTGAGGGCATTGGGTTTTTTTGGTGCAGGTACACATTTAGCACAAAACAGTACACAAGCTACAAAAATGTGTACATTCATTACTAAATGTACTTCATCTTTTTATAGTGGTGAATGCTTGTTTTGTTTAATTTATGTTGAATTATAATTTGCTTTAAATCTAAACAAAAAATGTGACTCTTGCCAATACAAAATTAATGTTCTACCCCTGTAATGTTACCAAATACTTGACTCTGGTTTAAATGGATCATTTGTTGAGTTACTTCCCTTTTTTCACACCCTTTTATTTTCTAGCAGTTTATCCCTGAATTTATTATTTTGATTCTTCTGTTTACACTTCCCTGGCCGTTACAATGTGGCTTGTTTTGTTTTCACAACTGGCAACTGCCATGGCTATTCTAAATTTAATGTACATGTTTACACTTTAGAACAACCAATTTTTTTTTATGGAAAACATAATTTCCTGAATTTAAATTACAACTATAAATTTTATTGAGTGAGACTTTTTAACATATAAGCCTATATTCATGTTTTTATAGTAACACTCAATTAAAGTTATCTAATGTATAGTTGGCAAACCTTGAAAATATTTTTGGTATCTATGTCAAGAACATGTCTATCCATCTTGGGGGAACATGTCCTTTTAGTTAAGTTGGGCATTTACCTGTCTACCTTTAACCTGATTATGATGTACGCCCCATCTTTACTTGACCTGTGTATGTTTAAAGTCAGTGCCTGTCTCAGAATCTTCTGGAAATGGTACTACTAGCTACTGGTTGTGAAATGAAATCTTCCAACTTTTGTTCATGTTTTGTGAATTAACCCAATGTTATTATCTCTTTTGAACTAACCTGTCGCCCCTGTTCTAATGAACTAGCCTGACCATCGTATTGTAGTGAACTAGTCTGACTCCCCTATTCTAATGAACTAACCTGAACCCCTATTCTAATGAACTAACCTGACTCCCCTATTCTAATGAACTAACCTGACTCCCCTATTCTAATGAACTAACCTGACTCCCCTATTGTGTGTTGTATGATCCCATGTGCTAGTCCATCATGAACCAGGTGTGACCACCAAATGGAGCGTAGTGACAACATTTCCTGTAGCAACTAACTCCACTAACTCTACTGCCACTATGCCAGATTTCTTGGGTAAGGTCATAGGTCATCAGGCTATGTGAATGTCTAGCTGCCATGCCTAATCTGCCACACTGATCCAGTTGCTGCATGTTTGCCATGTCACCTAGATCATTGTACCAATAACAGTAATCGCACCTTTACACTGCAAGCAGAAAATGTCTTCAATAAATGTTTAGGTTGAACTCTGTACTACATTACAAGCCCTTACAGCTCACATTAAGCTCTCATTAAGCTCAAATAATTTATGGCTTGTTTCACCTCCTGTGGTGCCTTGAATCAGGGGAGGTAAAAAATAAATTGAGGCTGATATTAAAGTTGTTGTATGTGCTGGATGCAGGAAACACACAAGTATGTTTGATGTCTGTTATTGCCTACTTGCATTAGCCGTATGATATTGCCTACTTGTGTTAGCCGTAATAATAGGTAGTCCAAACTGAAATTAACTATTGATTGCAGACTTCTGGAGTGAGTATGTCATGAAAGAACTTTTAATTGTAAGGTCTATGCCACAAATTTTATAAAAATATCTCAATAAATAAAAAAGTTATGCGATTTTTAAAAAAGCAAAATTTGGTAAAAAACTGATTTTCAAAAAGTGCCATTTTTGAGAACCCATATTTTTTAAACTAAATAACATAGAAGTGTAGAAATTGGTAAAGTTGCTGCAAAGTTTGTAATATATATGCCCAATTTTTTTCAGTCATCTAAAATGAGTCTTTCTAAGGTAAAAAAATAATTGAAAATGACAAAAATGCGTTTTGGTCACTTTTATTTTCATTAAAAAAAAAAATCAATTTTTTTTTTTTTTTTGCTTTGGAATAACTCTAAAACTATTGTGTTGGTAACATCAACGTGGAAAAATGTATTAATAATTTTCAAAAATCACATGAGTTAAAATATTATTTTAAAAAATACCACAGTTATCTAGTGCAGGAGAAACAGAATCAAAATTTAGTAGAGTAAATGTAATGTAATGTAGTTTAATAAAGACTTGATGCCTACAAGTGATGCAGCAGTTGATGCCACATGCTTTGGTTTCTTTTCAAACCTATACGGTTGATAACTGCTTTGGGGGAACAGTTTTTAAAACTACAACTCCACATCTTTGTACGTCTTGTTTCCCTCAACCTTGATCTTGTGGAGCATCATGAGTAAGTAATATGTTTTGGGAATTGTAGGGGGGAGTGGGGTCTTGGCCTTCTTCCCTTCCCTTGTAAGGAAAGTTCTGGATAGGCCACTGTAAATGTCTCCAGCTATGGAATAAACAATTGATTTAGTGATTAATAAAATAGAATTAAATTTACTACCAGCCTATTGTGTAGGCCTACTATTTGTCCTATGACTATAACTGGAAACATATGAAAAAGCCTGAAAACACCTTTTTGTTAAAAGTAATTTATACTTTATATATATTTTTAAGAGTAATTCTACTGAATGAAATTTGAAATATTCGTTGCTTGTGCCACACTGGTTGAGATATCCAATAATGAAGATGCCATACTGTGGTTCTCAACATCCTATAGGACAACTTAACTGTCCTTCATTGTTACTATTATATGCATATAAAATAAATAAATAATGAGAAATACTACTAGTACTACTTACACTTACAACTAATATAACATTTAAAACTAAGTCACAACATGTAGAATCTTAATAAATTGCACCACCATCTAAAAATTGATCTGGTACATTTTATTACGGAGACTGGCGCAGACCATTTCACATTATTTAGCAGGGGAATCAGAATCAGAGCACACAACAGAAAATAAAAAAAAATTAATCACATTAGTCCTTAAAATTTAGTGTCTTTTGTTTTAAATAAATCGATAAAAATGTATAGTTATTATAATTATACATTTCTTTTGTGTTTCATTTATATTTTATAAGTATTTAACCTTCGTTCCCTGTAAATAATTGAGTTCGTCCACATAGTAACCAGGATAGTCTGGTGGCCATTTTGAATTTGTCGATTCATAGTTTTGACGTGATAGTCCAGATAAACTGTAGTAATACGACCCTATCATTGATCCCAGTCAATAGATTTTAAAGAATTAGTAAACACTAGCATCTAATAGTTAAGTGCATCCATATTTTAAGTCCCTAGAATGTCCTGAATTAAATAGCTTCACGTCTAAACACACCCTGTGTACAAGCGTAGTTCACACGCTAAAACCGTGGACTTGAAGCGTTCAAATTTACATTAATAACGTGTACTAATTAAACCAAACTGACATTCAAACTTAAAATTCATTTATTAAAATGGAAATGAAACTTTAAAAATGATACTTACAACTTGTTTGAAGGCTCTAGCAAGGGTAAAATCCGTTTAGCATCATCGGTCGTCAACCTTTAAAACCGTTCGGCGAGCAACTTACTCGGGGCTGAAAGTCGACTCGAGGGTTATATGTTTATTGGGGGTACGGCTTCGCGACCGTAAATCAGAAATACTTGAATTTACAACACAAAGTAGTTATAAAACTGAACTTTACATCGGTGTAAAAATTGAAACAGAATTAGTTTGTTTCCGTGTATATATCGTCATTTAAAGTTTAAAATCTGTATTTTTTAAATGAAATAAACAAGTTATTTTTTCAATTTATACATCAAACGATAGCCTAGAATTCGATCTTTAAAATGACATTAAGATTATGCTTCTACGATGCTTCGTCGCGAAGCCGCGACCAAATAAAACAGTGTGGGGTCGATCGGTACACGCAAAACGGTGAAATTTGTTGACGTAACTGATACTTTTCAAACAAATATAAAACACATTCAGACATGTGTTACAGATATAAAAATACCAGATTACGACAGATAAAGACTTAAACTTTATTGACATATAATTTTTATTCTTATAGGACAACTAGAAGTAGTGAAATTTTTTTTTTGAAAACCGCAAAAACTGACCCTAAAACGCACTTTTTCGCCAGTTTGGACTACCTAGTAATAAGCTTTCTCAAAGGTTTGAGCATATTTTTCATCAACTGCTTAGCTGCAAGCTTTTAATGCTACTAGCTTTTGACAAGCTTTGTGTGGCTGACAGACTTATCTGCTGCTTTCATTGGGTGGTTACAATTTAGATTTGATCTAGAGTTGTCACTCCTAGATTATTTGTGACTGCTAGGACTATAGCATGCAAACATTCAATTCACCCGTAACCTGGCAACCATGGTTGCAGACTTGTGTTCAGACTACATTTGATTGCCATTGTAATTGATGACATGATTTCTGTTTATTTCTTTAGCCAAGAAAGACATTGATGCCATGATTTCCTTTTATTTCTTTAGCCAAGAAAGACATTGATGCCATGATTTCTGTTTATTTCTTTAGCCAAGAAAGACATTCTGATTGCTTTGCTGGTGGTGTTTCTGCTGGTTATTCCAATCCTAATTATCTTAATTATTGGCTTCATTAAAAGAAAACGCCTGATTAAATGGTGGAATGCTATGCCAAGCTTAAAGGACAGGTTAGTTATTTTTGTTAGGGTAGGGGTCATGGTCTGCTTGTGTTAGATTGTGTCACCGTGTAAGATTGACTCACCATGTAAGATTGTGTCACCATGTATGATTGACTCACCATGTAAGATTGTGCCACCATCTAAGCTTGTGTCACCATGTAAGATTGTGTGTCACCATGTAAGATTGACTCACCATGTAAGATTGTGTTACCATCTAAGATTGTGTGCTGCCATCTAAGCTTGTGTCACCATGTATGATTGACTGCCATGTAAAATTGTGCCACCATGTAAGATTGTGCCACCATGTAAGATTGTGTCACCATGTAAGATTGTGTCACCATCAAAGCCTGTGTCACCACCTCAACTTTATCTCCAGGTTTGAGGGCAAGCCAGGCAAACTGAAGGCTAGAGATTACCCAGCAAAGAAGGAGTTGAAACCTCGCTGTAACGACAGAGAGAATCTCATCTTCAACCCCCCACCAACCCATGCAGCTGACCCCCACCCCAAGCCAAAGGTGTGGAACACTCCTGAGACTCCAGCCCCACCCCCAGAGCGACCGAAGCGACCGCCATCTTTGGTGAAGAACAAGAGTGCAGCAGAGTCCAAGAACTTGCTGAAGAAGGTCAAGCTGTCTGTGCCCATACAGGAGACGTGTGGACCACCATCTCCACCAGCCAAACAAAAGAAAGTATCACAAAGAGCGCCATCTGGGTCTAAAAAAACAGACTTGAGAAGCATTCCAGAGCCCCAGAACCCCATAGTGAAGAGAGAATCTTTCCGAGGCTCTCAGATATCAGAGCCAGTGCTTGTGTGTACCACCAACAGGAACTCCCTGGTCCTGGCCGATGGCAATGTGGACATCATCGGCCCTGAGGCCAGGCTCGTCACCAGGAGCCCCACCTTCAACAAGCCTGCGGCCATCAAGCGCACTCAGTCAGACCGGCCCTTGTCCAGACCTGACCCCCACCACCCAGCTCCCCCAGCCCCAGGGACGTCCACCCTGAAAAAATCAGCCTCCGCAAGATCTCCGACAAACCCTAACCCCCCTGTTGCTTCATCAGCACCCACAACCAACCACAATAAAACCAACCCATCAGGGTTCCGCCCCCGCCCCATCCCACCCATCCCCACAGAGGAGGAAGATGACACCCAGCCCATCTACACCAATGAGACGTCGGACATGAGTGACCTGTTGTCAGCCATAGAGGGTGCACTCAAAGCTTCCTCTAACATCTACACTAACCTATCACCTGCTCCCCCTACAGAAGAGTTGCCTCCCCCAACTCCCCCACGCTCCACTTCAGCTGCCCAGCCTTTACCTTCACAGCTAAAGACTAAAGCCAATCTGGCAACCTCCACACAAAAACCTGCCAATTTGGCAACCTCCATACAAAAACCTGCCAATCTGGCAACCTCCACACAAAAACCTGCCAATTTGGCAACCTCCACACAAAAACCTGCCAATTTGGCAACCTCCACACAAAAACCTGCCAATTTGGCAACCTCCACACAAAAACCAGTTAATCTGGCAACCTCATCACAGAAACCTGCCAATTTGGCAACCTCCACACAAAAACCTGCCAGCTCAGCATTAGATGTTCAAACCAACAAAGCCCCAGCTGTTAACAAATCAACAACAAACAAAGCAGCCACAAGCAACATTGACAACCCAGCAGGGAAAACAGCTCCTGCGCAGAGACCTGCGTCAGTGGCTGACAGCAAGGAGAAATTAAAAGGTGCCATTTCTGATGAACTCAGGAGCAGAGTTCTGTCACAGTCTGTGGCAGGTCAGGGTGACATTCATAAGGCTGCACCAAAGTCAGTCAAGCGAGACCAGGCGTCCAGTGCCACGCCCCCAAAACCTTTGCCACCCAGCACTCAGGGCAGCTCGGCTGTCAAGGTCATAGACAAAAGTAACAAGGTCATAGACAAAAGTAACAAGGTCATAGATAAGGGTAGCTCAAAAAAAGCAGCCTCCACTAAATCTATTCCATCCAACAAGCCTGAAGTCTCGTCCAGCAAAACCAATGTCTCATCCAACAAGCCTGAAGTCTCGTCTAGCAAGCCTGAAGTCTCATCCAACAAAACCAATGTCTCATCCATTGCTGCCAGATTTGGCAGCGCTGGCCAAGACACGCCCACCACGCAGGAGACACACGGGAAGAAAGTGCCAGCTAGGAAGGTTGCAGTGCCAGACACAGCAGCAGCACCAGACACAGCACCAGCCACCAGACCTGCTGACAGACCAGTGACACGTGCCCAGTCCATGTCCAGCGCTCGGCCGTCCCTACCCCCCAAGCCAGACCAGGCCACCACAGTACCTGCCCCCAGCAATGCTCAGCCAAAGCGAGTCCAAAGTTACAGGATTTGACCCCGGCCTTCCATAGCAAGCTTGTGTGTCCTGGTGCCTGTGTCATCTTGTTGTGCATCTGTGTCCTTTGTTTGCCCTAGTGATACACGCAATATGCCTACAGTGACCTTTGATTTCTAGTCGTTTACAAGCCAATCTTGTAGTCACTCTGTATAGCTTATAGTACAGATGTTTATTTACTGTTTTTTAACTGAAAACCATTTGAAAGGACGGTAGTGATGTCAGCTTTTAGCATCAACCATTTTTATTTACAATGGTGCAATAGATATTTTTACAACTTGATTGTGTCATTACATTTCTGTCATGTTATTGTTTGAAACTTTGATTTGTAATAAGTCTTTGATTAGAAGCATATCTGGTCAGGTAATTCATGCTCAGCTGTATGTGTTATGCTGACATTTTTACCTGTGTCGCCCACTTTCATTTTTCTCTCTGAGATAAGTGAACTAGATTTACGTAAATAAAATTTACATTTGTGTTAGAGCAAACTTATCTAGTAGCTGAGAACACCTCACACAAAAGTTGAAGAAATAGCTAGTTCCCTAGCTGTGTGTAGTCATTTTCAACCTCTAGTATTTATCTTGATATTAATGTGGTGTGCAATACATCAAAATACTTTCATCATTGTTCATAGAATTTGTAAACTTGTGTGGTTAGCCTCATGTGTATGTGGTTAGCCACATGTGTGTTTGGTTAGCCCTATGTGTGCATGTATTGAAGCGCATGATATCACACGAGTTTTTCATGTTTTTACTGATGTAATTTTGTGTTTTTCTATCCACCATTTTTGTGGTTTCAAGTTCTGCTTCTCCCTTTTGTTGCTGCTCCATGCCCCATGGTCTGTCTCATTTATTCTAGATCAGGGGTCGGCAACCTGCGGCTCGCGAGCCGCATGCGGCTCTTTTGACGTCCAGACGCGGCTCTCCAGCTCCTTGCACAAATATTAATAGTTATTTCATTTTTACTGGACGGTGGGGTACGACTTTACCCTGCGTTCAGTGGGATGGAAGATAAGCCTGCTGAGAACCAAAGGATAGAAGAGTACGATGCAAGTTATTCAAACCGATATCCAAGCCAGTTAGTCGGCGTTTGCCGTGTTGAGGCCTGACTGGCTAATGGGAGACATCTCCTGAGCCGGTGATATCCGTAAAGAAAAAATAAAATAAAAATCAACAGCTTCTAATGTAAATTGAGATAGTCCTAGAATAATATTATTTGATTACTATTTTTTACTATTCAGGCGAAACATGTCTATGTTTTTATATGAATAAGTATTATTCATATTTAAAGCTATTTATTTTAAATAACAAATCAACTTTATTTACCTAATCTAATACCGAATATTGAATTAAAAAAGTTGTGGCTCTTTAAAAATTGGGAAAGTTTGTAAATTGTAACTTTTGGCTCTTGCGTATCAAAAGGTTGCCGACCCCTGTTCTAGATTTTTGTGTCACCACAAGGTTTTGATGCCACCTACATGAATTGCTTGAAGTTAAAACCTCTACAATCACCGACTGAACAAACCTTCATACCTGTCTCAGTGAACTGTTCCCTAAAGTTTTTGTAAGAATTACTTCCCGTGCTTCTTTGTGATATTTTTTTAATAAATTAAGTCCCTTGGTTTGTGTATAAAATAATTCCCTTGATTTTATTGTATAAATTTACTTCTTTGATTTTCTATTTATTTTGTATTCAAACTGAGTCGGGAATGGGGAGACGAACATTTTTTTTGCCAAGTTTAGGCTCATGATCACAGATGTTTTTGTAAAGGATCACAGAAAACCCTCAAGATGAACCCTACCCTGACATAGACTAAACCCTAAAGATTAACCATACCCTGACATAGACTAAACCCTCAAGATTAACCCTACCCTGACATAAACCCTCAAGATTAACCCTACCCTGACATAAACCACAAGATTAACCATACCCTGACATAAACCACAAGATTAACCCTACCCTGACATAAACCACAAGATTAACCCTACCCTGACTTAAACCACAAGATTAACCATACCCTGACATAAACCACAAGATTAACCATACCCTGACATAGACTAAACCCTCAAGATTAACCCTACCCTGACATAAACCACAAGATTAACCCTACCCTGACATAAACCACAAGATTAACCCTACCCTGACCAAAAAAAAACCTTGACACCCGTATCAGTTGATTTGCTATTCTTGTAGAGGAGTTGTTCTGGTCTGTACTGTTTGTAACTTGAGGATGGTATGGAGAAATGAACCAATATCAGGCCCGCGATCTAAGATCATTACTTTTTCAAACAGCTGGTCTACTTAAAACTGTAAGAATTTTAATTCTTTTAATTTAACGAACGCCTCTTGTTATTGTCAACAAAGGGGGCGAGGTGTACCTGTGTACCGGTTCTTTCATTGATTGTGTACGGACACCCGGGAAAAGACTGAGCATCGTGTTTTGTTTTATAACCAGTTTACTGTATTTTTAAGGGCGTGAACAAAAACATTTAGTACCATTTTTTTTGTAACCAGTTTATGTCAAGCAAGATCCACTTCATTTATTTTATTTTACTGTTTGTAAGAAATGCAATAAACAAATCATTTACTAACATTTTTTTTTTTATTTATTTACCATTTTCAGATGTAATTAACAATAAAGCGGTAGTCATCTCCCCTAAACTTTTTCAAATATTATATACGAATACACTAAAGGGGATGGCAACTTCATCAGTTCAATCGGGATATAGACAATTTTTTACAAGCTTTTCCTTAACTTACTTCCTCTGTCGTCATAGATCGAAACTGACGAGTGAAATTTTGAGAACTTCTAACTTGGCGCTTGCATCAAGACCCGATGACAATGCAACATGACATCAGGGAGGTGTAAATCGTCGAGATTTTTTTTTTTGCTCGATTGTAGGCCTATATAGATCTACAAGAAAGTAAAAATGGATGTACTGTAATTTAAATAGTAGTAGTGTATTATTATACATTTAAAGAAAGTCATTTATTTTCTCCTTTCTAGTGCATTATTGCATAAAATCTTGTTATTAAAACGTTTTTTTATGCAATTTTTGTCAGTACTTTAAATTTTTTATTTACAATACAGTTGTATGACTAAAAACTATTGCGCACCAAATGAACTTAATAATGGGCTTATCATCGGACGGAATGATTAGGGGTCATCCATAAATGACGTCACGCTTTTTTTGACGATTTTTACCTCCCCCTCCCCTCCGTCACACGTCGTCACAAAAAGCCAGACCCCCCCCCCTAAAATGACGTCACACCTCAGCTTACAACCCCCCTCAAAATTGCAGTTGAATTTTTTTAAAACATCGATATTTTTCCAAAATCTTGTCTAAACTATTACAATTTATTAAAACAGTTATCTAAAACGCAAAATAACGTCTAAAATTCGTTTTCTAACATTGCTTTTTTATAATGCAAAAATGTGACGTCGCAACATCTGACCCCCCCTCCCCCTCATCACACATCGTCACAACATTACGGAACCCCCCTCCCCCCTACGAGTGTGACGTCATTTATGGATGACCCCTTAGTACAAAATTGCCTACTAATTAAGGAAAGTTTTAATTAATTCATAAAAAATGTATTAAGTCAAATTTAATATGATATTGCATTGTCTTCAATGTGCCAATCTGGAACGAATCTCACATTTAGAAATGCCCGAAATATCGCTTGGCCGTTTTTATCTATGACGACGGATAGACAGAGTGACGCGAGACAGAGGAAGCATCTTAAATAAAAGCTTGTAAAAAAAATTCATAAAAAAGCTTTTATGCAATAATGCACTTAAAAGTAGAGAAGAAATGATTTTCTTTAAATGTATCATAATACACAACTATTTAAATAACTATAATGAAAACCGTGGGTGACTTTATTATCGATTGGATACCTTTACTAATATTCAGGAAGAGGCCCACGCTTTTCTTTATAGTTATTTAAATAGTTTATTAATATATATATATATTTAAAGAAAAAATTTTCTTGTCTACTTTTTAGTGCACTATTGCATAAAAGCTTGTAATCATTTATTTACGAGAAAGTAAAAAGGAGAATATAAGTGATTTTCTTTAAATATATAATAACTAGCCGTCGGTACCCGTTACACGTGAATTATATGCCTATATATTTTAATGTCTGAGAAAAATATTTTCTTAAAAAAGTTATTAGTCAAAAAGCTACGTGCTTTATTACACGTTGAACGACATTAGGGACAAAGCAAAGAAAAAACTAAATAGATAAAAATCCGATATATTCAAAATAACAATAGGCTACCCATACCTATTAGAAAAATAAAACCACACTATTTACATTTTTAGTCAACACAATGCACACGCTGATTATGAGACAAATGATTTCACTAAAAACCCGGCTGTTCAATGGTCATTATGTTGTTTTTTAAAGTAATTTGTATTAGTTTAAGCCTACAAAATTTTATATATTTAATAGCGTACGTCTCGATAAGTAGATCTAAATCAAATTTGAATGAAATAGTTCATTTCTGTATATTCTAAAATTTGGAGATGACGCCATTAGTTTTGTGTTCATTCCGTAGTTTAAACAAGTGGCATGTGGCGTCAATGTTTATTGCGTTCTTGTCACAACTATAAAGATTTTTCCGGTTGCATAATTTTAAAAAATGTGTTTCTACATTTGAATATTGCTTTATTTTTATTTATTTTTTTAAAGAAAATTTAGTTTATACATTTAAAACATCCAACATATTATTTTCACAAAAACAATATCTTTAAGTTCTCCATATATCGCTTAACATACTGATCATATAGCCTCAAAAATGTTGCGGACAGAAAGAGAGAGAGAGAGAGAGAAGTGAGCACATGGGCTTTTATATTTAAGATTATTTAAATAGTATTGTAGTGTATTGTTATATACGTTACGAAAATCAGTTATTTACTCCCTTTTAGTGCATTATTACACAGGAACTTGTTATTAAAACGTTATTGTGCTTTTTTTTAAATCAATTTTTGAACACTTGAATTTCGATATTGAATAAAATTGCGTTCAAATAAGAATTGCGCACCAAATGAACAGCAAACAATACATTATTACATAAAAGCTTGTTATTAAAACGTTTTTTTTTTAATGAAATTTTTGTATACATTATTTTTCTCAAACAAGTATAAGATTAAAAATATATAGGCCTATAATTCACGTGAAACGGGTACCGCTGGGTAGTGTATAATAGCGCGGAACATAAGTACTTAATAAAGAAAACATTGATTAAATTTTCAAAGAGTCAATTCATCATCTAATCAAGTAAAATCATATGTCACAATAAATTGTGTTCGTGTCTTGACCTACGTGAATAGTTTGAAATAAATCGGTCCGGAGAAGTGGTCGAAATTTCGCTAGCAACTTTCCGATCATGAAAGCGATAGGCAGAGGAATCAATTTAAAAATAAATTCTTATGGGCTGTTTTTGTTTTTCGAGAAATCGGGAATAGCGTTAAGTACAACTTCCGGTCAGTGGAAAGAACTCACTATTTGACAGAGAATTGGATATTTTATTTATACGTGAAATTTGGTCGACCGAACTGAAACAATTCTAAAGTAATAGCATTTTGAGAAGACAGCAAAAGTTCCATTTCCGGTCACAGGAAATCGCTGAAAGTTGATTCAGAACTACACACATATATATATATATATATATATATATATATATATATATATATATATATATATATATATATAATTCTCTTCATGGAGACCATAGAAAACACAAACACAACACAACACAAACACAAACACAACACGAACACAAACACAACACAAACACAACACAAACACAATACAAATACCACAAACACAACACAACACAAATGCCCCAAACACAACAGAACAAAAACATAACACAAACACAACACAAAAGAAAACACAAACAAAACACAACACAAACACAAATAAAAACACAAGCACAAAAGAAAACACAACACAAACACAAACACAAAAGAAAACAAACACAATGCAAACAAACACAATGCAAACATAAACGAAAATACAAACGCAACACTCATCCATTTGCATTTACATTTTGCTAATTATATTATTGCAACACTAATTGCTTCTTGGAGGTCTGTAGATTTCGCATTCACATTTTTATAAATTTGCGTGAGTTGAATTTATTTTTAAGTTACCTCCCTTCGAAAATGACAAAACAGTTTAATTAATTTGTATTTTCGACCCTATTATTTTTAAAATGTATTCACTTTATCTAGGAATCTAAACGAAAATAATATTTGACATTGATCCGCTTAATATGTTTTTGCAATGTGCGTGTATTTAATATTTTCTTTACATCATGCAAAAGAATAAAAACAGTGGCAACTATAAAATAAATTAAAGTCGTTATATAAACAAATCCTACTCTATTACTTATTACCCGTGCTCCGCCACGGTGAATCTTTTTTAAATGTACCAACTTGGGAACAGAACAAAATTAATCACAACACAAACACAACACAACTACAACCACAACACAACCACAACACAACCACAACACAACCACAACACAACCACAACACAACTACAACCACAACACAACCACAACACAACCACAACCACAACACAACACAACCACAACACAACCACGACACAACCACAACACAACCACAACACAACCACAACACAACCACAACACAACCACAACACAACCACAACACAACCACAACACAACCACAACACAACCACAACACAACCACAACACAACCACAACACAACCACAACACAACCACAACACAACCACAACACAACCACAACACAACCACAACCACGACACAACACAACCACAACACAACCACAACACAACCACAACACAACCACAACACAACCACGACACAACCACGACACAACCACAACACAACCACGACACAACCACGACACAACCACGACACAACCACAACACAACCACAACACAACCACAACACAACCACAACACAACCACAACACAACCACAACACAACCACAACACAACCACAACACAACCACAACATTAGAATCACTGCCGAACAACACGCGTTCCTAGGCGTCAGCGCCCAAAGAGAGCCTTTCCAGCATTAAAAATTTAAGTCACAAAAATAGATCCTACTCCAAAACTTACAATAAGACAATGCAATGCAAATAAATGTACGGCAAGTGGTGTTTACTTTTATGGTTCTAAGAAAACACATTGGCAATGTATCGCCACAGAAAAACACGCTTTCCCAGGCGTCCGCGCCCAGAGAGAGCCTTACCAGCATTCTCTATAAGTCTAATTTCACCATCTGTTTTAATAACACCGAAAAACAAAAACAAAAAGTAGTGATTTTGAGAGATCATAGACTAATTAGAAAATAATATAAATAATCTTAACATTTTGCTATTTTAATTATAAACTATAAACGGTAGTAATAAAAAATTTAACTTCAATTATTGAGAGTGAATTGAATTTATTTTTAAATTACCTCCCTTGGCAAAATAAAAAATAACAGTGGAATTAATTAGTATTTTTCGATATATATATATATATATATATATATATATATATATATATATATATATATATATATATATATAT